AGCAATGCGTTTTATTCACTCGCATCATTAGTTATTCACCGCAGCGTATGCCTGGCCAGCACAACGCTGAGGGTTGATCGTAACGCAATCACTCTATATGGAAGAGGTTTTTTTTATATATGCCGTGCGGTTCTTTCAAATTTGCGTAGCTGTCAGGTCAGGTTTCCCCCAGGATGTAAACGTGTTTTGGTACGGGGCAGACAGAGAATACACAGACTTACGGCCATAATTGACTCCTATAGATATCGCTAACCGGAGTATATGTGTGTGGCGTGCAAAGAAAATTATATTCTGCAGCATTGCAGATAACCCTTGGTAATTGAACAAAAAGACAGCGCGCCGATTTACGGCATTCATCATTCATTCATAAACCAATGCAGCGTTAAGTCCTCTCTCTGCTCACAGCATGGGTCTGCGTGGCGACAATACCCGGCACGGTCACACATGACCTAGTTTCAACGTTGCAATCCCTCGAGGTGATTCCGTTCTATTTTGTTTCCACACTTGGCTGCCACCCCATCACTAATTTTAGCCATTCTTCGTCACACTCTCTTGTGCAATCGACTACGTGAATATATATACACACGCAATGCGCAATAAACGGACATTAATGTTTCGCGTCTGGAGATGCGTGAGTAACATAAACTGATTTTGCACGAAAGCACAATTTTTTTGAGGGTTTAAAAAAAAACTTGGATTCTGCCGAACACGACTCACAGTGTACACGGATCGATCTATCTCTATCTATCTATCTATCGGATGTGTGTAAATATATATTTGTCGAACTCAACACATTTGTCAATACCACCGTGGCCTTAAAAAGGAAAGATATATAATAGATGACGTTTTGAGCAATAGCACTTCTTCATAGCACATAACTCTGATATTTTATGTGCTAGGAAAGAAAGATCATTGCCAGAAACGTCAATTAAATATATATTTTCCTTTTGAGGCCACAGTGTTATTGACGAACGTGTTGAGTTTTTGTTGCTGTTATTTGTGCTTGTGCACCACTGCCAACGCAGTTGTCACCAAATAATGCGTTTATCTACGGTGCACCCTGAACCCAGCATGGACACAGGGGGTTCAGGGTGTGCAAGCACTGGCGGAGCCAATGGGGTGCGGGGGGGGGGCACATGCCCCCCCAATGATCCAATCGAAATCCATAATTTCGATCGGATCATTGGGGTTTATTAGTAATAAATCGGCATTTTGCGACCCCCACTGCCACTGTGTAGCATATTATTACGTGCCAGGGACTCTATGAGATGATAGGACAATAGTCTGAGTCCATAATTGGCAATAAGTAACGGCAAAGCGGTTATAAGCGACTCACAGAATTGTGCGCAGTTGCGTATACAGTACACGACTTCCCTGAAGGCATTCACCTTCAGCGAGTGCGATGCTGATCACACACGGTTCGAATTCGACCCTCGATCGATGGCTGCGCCATCGCCGCACACTCGTCGAATAAAAAGCAAGGGACAAGTCCTTACTTACTAACAACTCCTCTATCATTTTTCATTGCTGGATGGGTTGCCCCCCCCTATCTGAAAATCCTGGCTTCGCTATTGTGCGCAAGGACGCTGCACGCTGGCAAGAGGAGGAGAAAACCAGCGGGCGAAACGCTGCTGCTACCAGAGCACGTGCACACTGAGAACAGGGGTACGCATGCATCAGCGTCAGCGATAGGCTTGCAATGATACACGGCGGATACGATACGTCGTACGATACAAGGCCCGCGACGGTCGCATCGACCGTTATGCACGAATGCATGGTCTTTATTGTTGGGCATTTTAATTGTTCTGAGTTATCGACAGCATCGTTATTATAGGACATCATTTTCCTAGTTCATTAACTTTTGTCTCACGTAGACTGACAGCACGTACATTACTCGTGTTTTAAATTTGAGCCCTACCTGCCAAATGTGGATGATAAAATAAGTCCATTGAGTTCTGCAGGCTTAAAGCGAAGAAACTGCAGTTGAAGAACTTTTAAGTCATCCTTATTTGCACTGTTAGTGCAAGCAACGCACTCAACACAACATAACCGTGAAGTACAATTTTTTGAAGTACAGTTTGAGCAGCTGATGCAGCATTGTGATAATCATCACAACGTTCAAATGAGTATCCTATCGTATTGCGAAACAAATTATATCACGGCAACCCTAGTTAGTGCAAATGTTGTTTTTCCTGACACAGCGCATGCACCCCTAGGATCGGTCGGTGATACCCGGACCAATTCCGTGTACACGCAGAGCTCTCAGCATTTGCAGCAGCTGCCAAGTAGTCGCTGCTGTGATGGCTGGGCACTTTGCATGCGCGTGCCAGTTTAAATGCGAATGTGTGTCGGTGCGGCATTCCATTGTGTGTGTGTGTTTTTTTTAAAGAAAATGTTTGGCTCAGCGTTGTCTTTATTTAATTCTCCCCCACCTCCCAGGTCCAGGGTTGAACACTAACTCCACCCTTGCAAGTTTCACACCTCTGCTAGCGCACTCACTCACTCTGGTCAGAGTACGGGCCTTGCTGACATTTTTCGAACCTGATCTCACATTTTCTCCCTCTCTCATTGTTATGCTCCATTTGTACATCTCTCCCTTCACCCACCACTTATTACCAATCTCAAGCTCTGTCAATTCTCGGCGTTTTAATGCCAAAACCCAACTCATGACTGACTTTGATGATCTTACCTCCACTCTAGGCCCCTCCCTCCCTCTCCTCCTCCTGGGTGAAATCACACGAGGCGATGAACTCACAAAAATCCCACAATGCATGCATTACGATCAACTCACCACCTGAAAGCCCAACAGACTGGGGAGTCTCACAGCACACGACAATCTCTGAGTGACCCCCCAACCTCAGCTCTGAAGCATGGACCACAGGCCAGTAGATCTGGCACAACCTTGGGCACGTAATTCACCAAGTTCCAACAAAACATTCGTTAAAAATGCACTGGTTTATCAATAAATTCTCTCCTCTCAAAATAAACTACTGACACACGCGTTAAATTATATATGTGTCCGCTGCATAATTTATGCCACGGCGTTAATGATGACAGCGGTGAAGTGTTTGTGATTTTCAGCTTACAGGTCCAGTGCCAAGTATTTACAGATGAACCAATTTCTTGTTGCACAAATGCAGAAATCAGAGGCAACCAAATGACAATTAGACGGTCCAAGAAAAATGCTTCAGCAAAACCTTTTTCTGTTAGCGATTGCAAAAAAAAAACGACACAAGAGTTGAACAGAAAAGCCGATAGGGAGCAGACCTTCCGCAGCCTGCTATGAGGAGACGAATCAATCGCAACAACACAGAGAGCGCAAGCTTTCATCAACAAAGGCCATCGGAGAGAGTGAATACGGACATTATCAAGCAGATCTCCCCAATGGAGCTGACACCAAAGGAAAGACAAAATTCACACAAAATGAGCTGTCAGGCAAAATGACGCAAAAAAACGATTCCCAGCAGTAATCAGAGCAAGTCTGAATAGGCGGCGGAACAGCTTAATGGTTAGTGTCAAAATAATAAAAATCAGAGCTCAATATAGCACTGTGGGGGCACTTACTCATCGGAGGCCCTATGCCCGTGGTGGGAAATCCAGTCACCACTTGGTGTGGCTGCATACATGAATTTCCACAGTGTTCCGGTATTCTAGCAAGGACTAACAGATGCATACCATCTGCTGTATATATACACACACACACACACAAAAACATCCAGCCATTTCCCATCCCAAGCACACTATGTCAGTCATGGAAGTTTTATTTCGACCATACTTCACCACACTGGTCAGTTCGAGTTGGTGTAGGTGGAGGAGGTGGAGCGGCAGGCGGGGGAAGAGATGGCAGGGCTGGTTCTGATATCACTCACCACTGATGTCAACCGTGGCCCTGAATCAAACTCCGGATCTTTGGGTTCGAAGCGCAGTGTGCGTTAACAACTGCGCCACCACTCCACCCATTGCTGTATATATTTCCTGTTCAAGTACAATAAATGTCTTCTTTTGCTCGGCACTCAGTGGGTAGGTAAATGGAGGATGGAATGCTCTGCTACACAAGCAAAGGGTGGGCACTCAAGAGAGTATGTGTAGCACACAGTGGCACAGGCCGTGCATTTCAAATGCGTTGCTTGTTAAGCGCTAAAAGTGGTTATCGGTTATAAAAACATGTTTTGTACCGAGTAAGTGAATTCCATAAACTGGCATTGAGTCGACCACCCACTGGGAGTTGTGACTCACAACCGTCCGACTGAATCACATCACCTGGCTGCGCTATGAACTGTCTACAAAATAAAATAATTCAACTCCAGCCATTCTCAAGTTGTCGGCAACGGGGTTGTTTTAAGACCATACTTCACCATGCTGGTCATTGCAACAAATGTCATTCCAATCAGATGGAATATGCCCTAAATAAATAAACAAACAACCTCTGATTTTATCGTGTTGGTGTTTTGTGCGGCCATTGGTGACCAAGCTAAGACCGACAATCACGTGAAGGCTTTAACGACAGGTGGAAGAATAATGGTCTCTATCCCAGGATCTCTGTGGCCGATAGCCTCCGGAGCCACCCAGCCACCACTTTTATTGATCAATTTATCTCTAAGGTATTGCATTATTATGTTATCAAAACGTTGCCAAATTCTTTTAAACGTTGCATAGGGCTTACCCTCAGTGTTAACCTTTCGATGGAAATTTCACATTTCTACATTGCGATCTGTCTATTCACAAGACGACCACCGCTGACTTCCCAAAAAGCGGTACCCATATTATTGACTCCGCAGTGATGATGGACTGCGTTTACCCCCAATGGAGGAGCCTCAGATGCTCAAGCAAGAGTTTGGTGGTGCTCATCAACGCCAATATCCCCGAGCCAGCAGTGGAAATTCCACGTTTCTGTGCAAGGCCGCCGTTCTCTCCGGAGCACGGCCGTTTTAGTCGACCCCCAGTGGGCGCGTGGAGTCTCAACAAGGTGACGCTCACCCCACACCACGGCCAGGGCTCACCTCGGGTCTGCAGGAAGTCGAGCTGCTGGATGGAGTTCAGGAGGGGTCCGCTGTCGAGGGAGAGGTCAAACTCGGGGTTGGCGCGGGGCTGCAGCGCCCCCCGCCCCCACTGCTCCTCCGTGCTGTGCACGCGCTTGATGAGGGCATCCGAGATCTGCTCGGCGCACGCAACGTGTGTGTGTGTGAACACACGCAGCGTACACAGACAGCGTACTCACATAGCGTACACACAACGCGTACACACAGAGCGTACACCCATAGCGTACACACGCCGCGTACACACACAGCATACGAATAACATACGCATCTTACATATAGCATACACACAGCATACACACTGTATACACAGCGTACATGGACAGTGTACACATAGCACACACAATGTATACGCGTGACGTGCACACACGGAAATTGGAAAAGCAGCTAATTTGAAACTTGTCCACTGCGTTAGGGAGACTGCAGAGGTTTCACCGCTTTGGTGAAGTTTTATACCCTTTTTCCACTAGCACACCCAAGCCACGTCAGCACGGCGTGGTTTTCCACTGGCTGTTTAATCAAGCCGGGCCAGTACCATACCATGAAACTCTGGCCTCATGAAACATCCGAATCTGACTCAGAGTTAAGCAGGGGCCAGACTCAGGGACTCTGAAAGCACGAAGAGCAACCCAGATCCCAGGCCTACTGATGGTCAGGTCAATAAAGCAGAGATGTAGGTCCTGTTGGAATTTCCTTACACCTCTGCTGCAGCAGACGGAGAGAAAATATGGCATCTGTGCAGGAACGCCCTTTCCTGAAACCATCACTTACACACAATAACCGCCATTCGCCACTAAGTGGCGGTGGCGACGTTACCACGGCGCTTGTGCCAGGCTATGTGCACGTTGAGGCCACACACACACATGATCTCACGCACACACACGCACACAGGCTGGTAACCACGCCACGCGCACGTGACATCATTAATATTGATGAGCACTTTAATTTCACCGCACGATGTTGCCGTATCACGCGCAAACCCCCCCCCCCTTTAGGCATGCGCCAACCGCTGTGAATTTGAATGAGCTCGAGAGGTGAACTGTTGACGGTGCCGTCTCGCACCGCGCCCGCCAGCCCGACCCGATGCTCCCCTCCTGCACCTTGCCCTCACCTCCACCCCTCGCTCGCGTCTTACAAAACGACAAGGGTTGGATGGGCACGTAAGCATGTGTGTGCGTGTGTGTTTTCATGTTGCGCCTAGAGCGCCTTTGTCAATCCACTGCTGGATGAGCGCCTCCCCGCCATGCAGTGGGGGGGGGGGGGGGTTGGCCATACTTCACCACGCTGGTCAGTGCAGGTTGGTGAAGGCAGGAAGCACAGACGATTGAGCATAGTGCAGCCCAGCAATTATTTTGTTTGTTTATTCCACTCTTGCAACATAACGCTGCAGTAACCTATAATAGCTGCGATGCACGGTGGACGTCCATCCAGGCACTATCCAGGCTTAATTCTGCTTAGCTTCTGACGAGATTGGGCACATTCTGGGTGATTTGGTCATCTGTGATCATTGATCATGTGACGACTTTAGTTCGTGACGCTGTGCTGCCCTGCCCCTTCTTGGCACGTTTATATCTGAATAGGCACCCTTTTAATAAAACAATTGTAAAAACTACTTGGGTGACGCATTTTACATTTTCACAGTACTGAAAGGATATTCCCAGATTTAGCTTTTGTTGCCGAAAAAGAATGACATTGAAGACGAGACATTTCTCGTTGTGGAGCCTATGGATGTGCATATCAATACTTTGTGCTGTGACTGGCAATCATCGTGGGGGTGGAGGTAGCATAGCTGCTGTTGTCATCATGATGATGCCACAGGATGACAATTGCGTGCGTCTAACCACAGCCACCGTAGCCATGAGCAACGGCATCAGTGCATTCTGTTGGTGGCTTCCGCCGCTGAAACTCGTTTCACGACTCCCTTCAGTCATGCGACAGCGTTCGCGGGGGTCTCGCAGTGATTGCGCGTGTGAGTGCGCAGACTGGGAAGTGGGATGATCGACAGGTGAAAGGGATGAAGGGAATTAGGAGTTGAGTCGCGAGGGGACAGCGGAGTCAGTTAAGACAGCGGAGTTAGTTAGGGGAGAGAGTCAGTTAAAACAGTGGAGTGAGTGAAGGAGTGAAAGGAGGAGTGAGGGAGCAGAGCGTGAATAGTGTTCATATAAATACTGTAGCATGCACAAATTGGATAATATTAAATAGTTTGCAAAACACATAACGATAGTTTTAAGTGTTGATATTTTTTACTGGAATATATTCGTGATTAATAAATGTTACGGTGGACATTTCTTTTGAGTCCTAGTCCGATATGAGAAAAGCAAACCTCCGTTCTGCGTTTCCACTTCCAGATAAAATATGTTAGTCTATCAGTATGTTGGCTTTCCAGATCAATACTCCCAATAAGAGTAACGGTCTGTCAGCGGCAGATGTTTGTATACCACAGCTAACTGGGAAATTGAGTCACAGTCCGTTTAAATATAAAAAAAACAAGTGGGAATGTGTTTTTGTAATCAAGAGAGCAATCGGAGAGCATGTGTCTCTGCTGACAACAACTTCGATTCGTCCCTATGTCCTGTGTAAATCCTAGCTTTGTAACTATTACGAGCTGTGGTTTTAATGAAAACAGTGTTCGGCAGTGTGGTGCTGTGGAAGGGTGAATGACTCACTGAAGGCTTACATCTTGGGGAAGGGGAAAATCGAGCTTATCCCTCCATGATCAATAAAAAAGTACTAGTTTGTGGGAAGTCAACAGTTGTCGTCGCATGGAAAAAACAACTTGCTCCCACCGTACTTGCAGTGGAATTTCCCCCACTGCCCTATTACTGCTAAAAGAGATGGGTATTGCTCCCGGCACATGGAGTGAAACATCAGACGTGTTGAACAACATGCGGCAACAAACTGGAACGCATCGGAGAGCCGTCCAGCACAACCGCGAACATCTACACAGTCGCACTTTGACCACTCGGCTACTGCTGCCTTGAGTTTGATGTCGGTACCTGCAGGAATCCGCTGGGGTCGTTCTCTTTGATCACCTCCAGGCAGAACTCTATGAGCCCTGTCGTCTGCCGTAGCTTCACAGAGCAGTGGCTCATCTGATCCCGCACCAGCTGTGAACAGAAACAAGCGGTCACGCACGCACATGAGGTATGTGCATACGTGTATACGTGTGTTGAGGTGCAACAGACGACGCTGACACAGTTCTTGAGTAAGGGCGGATGCCAAGGTTTATTAAGGGCTAATGTCGGTAACTTTTTCAAGGCTTACACCTAACAGTTGACAACCTTAATAGCTTCCCAGGGGAAAGGATACTGGGAAGTTCCTAGCTCCCCCAGGCTATTCGTGCTCTTCCCTCAGCACCGACCGAGGGGTCATCCAACTCGGTGGGCCGGGTGAGTAGCCACCCTAGCCTGGCGCTAATTCCCCCTACCCTGGATCCCGACTCCTTAACTCTCTCCGTCCCTGGCCCTTCGCGACGACCCCGTTCACGTCACCGGTCCGAGATTATATATCCCAGGGTGACAAGACGTCAATCATTCTACACCCCAGGGTGACAAGACGTCATCAACTACTCCACAACACGTGTACCAACCAAAATCGGCACGAATACCACCCAAAAACCGCACGGAACAAGTCAGCAACCGATTTGTTGTACTTCCATTTCCTGGCTTTCTGGCCCAGAAGCACGTGATCCACCAACCTTGTCTTCGAAACACGAGACGACACGCTTGAATCATTGTGTCTGGATAAATTGTACAACAGCTACAGATGTTAGATTGATGTTAGATTTCCTCCAATCAAGGGAGCAATCAGTCTACTCTTTTATGTAAAACCCTTGCTGTGATCCCTTACGGGACAACACCATGGGCCCAAATCCCAATTTTGTTGTAAAATCTGCTGGCAGAATCTTTGGCTGAAAATGTATTATTAATTACGACACACATTTAACTTTTTGCGATGCGACCAGAAAATCAATTACAAATAAAAAAAAATATTCCACTGCATTCACCGACAAATTTCATCATCAATTTCGCCGGGAGGAATGGACGAGGCGCCATTCCTTGCCGATCGGCGGCAGCCAATCCAGAGATCGGGACGTGCAAGGGAATTCCAATCCGTTTCACACACGCACGTACGTGTAATTCCGTGGCGCAGACACCTAAATCAATTTGTGAAGGTCTGTGTCAACGGCTCAACCTCCTGCAGAGTCGTGTGGGGTCGCAGAGAGGACTGCATCTGCAAAAAGTCTGTACGGTTTCGTAGGGGTCGAACCCTGCTTTCAACAAGTGGAGGGGCATTCCGTTTGCTACAGTGATGAAGTGTGTAACTTTGCTTCTATCAATGACTTAATTTCTCATGGAGTATTTTCCAGGGTCCCATAACCCCAAAATCCCCGGACCCGACTGCCATAGGCAGACTTTGACTTCTATATTTGGGGGAGGGGAGCAGGGGTTCGCTTTGTCCCTCACATTAGGAATTTAGGAATATGTAGTGGTTCACACCAGGGAGATGGAAGCTTCTTAGAGGCAACACGTTTATTAACAATGAAGCCCTAAACACGAAGGAGTATATCTGCCCCTTCACCAGCTAACCTAGGGAGGTATCCCCTCAGGGCTAGCTAACTCTAGCACACACTGGGTGGCGACCTCAGACCGGACCCCGTCTCGGGTCCAGGTCTCGCAGTCAGGCAGGTCTTCTCTCAGTGACGACTTGAGTTTTGAGTCTTGCGACAGCCGCCCGACCCGTTCAGTGCTCCGGCTTATATTGTCCGTGGCGGGTCTCACTCTGCCCTTAGCCACGCCCACCTTCTCGAGCCTTCGAGAAGAACCTGGTCCTGGTCCCGTGGTCCCCGAGCCCCCTCTTAGGGGGCCCCCGGGCTGGTACCTCAGGTCACTAAGCCTCCGGGTTCACACAGAGCGCCATGGCCTCCTGTAAACCCGTGCACCGTACCCGGCACTCTCGCCCCCTAACCTCTAGAGGCTGGCACTGCACGTGGAGTGCAATGCCATCCATCCTTGATTGACGATCTCAGCCGGCCCCCGCTAGGGCCGGTACTGCAGCCGCACAGTGCAGGCTGTCAGGAGTGTGCCTGCCGTAGATCGTGCCCCACACAGCCCGGCTCACACATCATGCAGTGGCATCCCACGATGCCACTACACATATAATTAATGTTAAGCCTACTGCCATCTCCCCCAGAGCTCAGCCCCAGACAACTGTAGCTGAAAGGAAGCCCTGTCCCCATCACAAACACATGGGATATTTTGCATGTCTACAGATGCACGCATGTCTAAATTACATACCATAACCAGTTTAACATCACACTCAATGGGAGGGACATCACTTGGTTTACTGATGATGGGTATCATATCCTTCACGAAATACAATTGTTTGATAATTTAACCGTGTAAGAACTTTAGGCTGACCCTGCCCCAATCTACCACAGAGCCATAATGTCTGACGGCACACATTTGAAATTTTTTTCTAGTAAAATCAGACTCAGCTACAGTGCAATATGTCCTGCGAATGTCTCTGAAGGAAATGGAAACGGTAGAACTGAGCCACCTTTCTGCATAAACGGGCATCGTTCTGCCAAAACAGGGCAAAACGATGGTCAAAAAACATTTCGATACGAGTTTAACACGGAGTAGTAGTAGGCTTTCGCGACCAATATTATCCATGATATAGGTGTTTGGGTTAGATCGTGTAAATATAAATGTGTCGTTAAACCCGCCACCACCCAACACAGCCAATTAGTAAGGTTTGTCACGCCAACAATTCGTTACTAGTTCAGCACACCGGTGTGTTGGAGTGTAAACCCACTACATTTACAATTTGAGTACGAAGTTTCGCTGAATTGGGCCCCATGCCCCTTGTGAGGAGGGAGGCTTGGGTGTAAACAAATCAGCTGTGCACTTACCGTCATTAACCGACGATTAAAGTGACAATTACGCACGCCTCTGGGGACGGAGGCTTGCGGTTGAGTTGTGGGGAAACTGGGCAGATGTAAGAGGGGAAGGAGGAGTGAGCGAGGATGCTGTCACTTGAGTGCCCCAAGTTGCACAAAGTGTGCATGTGGTGCATCTGCCAGTCACTGCATTAACTTAACCCATTACACCCGGGTCAGTTGTTATATCCTGCCAACAAACCTTTTGAGACTTTTGTGGCCTCAAAGTACACCTAGGCTAGCACAATCACTGTCAGTATGATTTCCAGCCATGCACAACATGAGTAGCAAGTGTAACGTGTTTTGGACCTCCTATAGATTGACTCGGCCTTAAATAAATTACCTGTCATAGTGTCAACACAAAGGTGACTGAATACCCTCGTCACACCACCCTTGTATTCTGTGCCAGTCTTAATAGATGCTCGCTAACAGCACTTAATCCTACAGTCGTTGAGGTTGAACGGGAGATGCTGTGCTGGTGTCGGTGTGTGCGTGTGTTTTTTATGCTTTGTGTATGTTTGAGTGAGTGTGTTGTTGTTTTTTCCAGGTGATGTGACACATTACAAAATCACGTCGCAAGAGCCAACACCCACAGAGGGGATCTTGCAGTTTTAGTGGCTCCCAGTGGGAACCGTTTATGTAGCTTCCAGCTAACCTCACCAGACTCTAACAATTAACACCGAGACTTGTCCCACAAGCAGACTACTGCACAAAAACCAATACAGGGTGCTTAAAAAAATGTTAACACTTCTCTGAGAATTTGCAACAATGTCACAAGAAATGGGCCTCCGGGCTCTGGAGAACACCTGGAGAAGATTACAGGCACGCGTTGACAATGACGCACAATCTGAAGATCTTAATGATCTTGTTGGAATATTCGTGGCTGAAGGAAGTCATGAATGAAGGGAGGAGCAAGTCCATTTTAAGGCCTTGAATGCCACGGCGAACATCGAGTGGCGAGCGATATCGGAACCAGTCACGGGCCTGGCCCACGATTCCTTCCGCCAACCCGCACCGACTGACCGGCGAGGTGAAGTATGGTCAAACCGGCCCCATGGCTGAGACAACGTGGGGGAGGCCATTAACCAGCAAAGAGCTGTGAATAATTACTGTTATTATGTCTGTTACTATTAAGATTGTAGGCCTCTGCGGCATGTCACAGTTGGCACAGCTGTCGTTGCATTAAGCTGTAGTCATTCGCCTGTTAATTATATATTTAATATCAATTAGATTATTTTATTTATTTAATGAAAGCATTCCGAATAATGATGTAGCCATTACCTTGATACGATCATTCGGTCGCACGCTGAAAAGGGAACACTAATACGGATTTCCTAATTATGATATTTTGTCATCTGATTACAGGAATGCATTGTTACCGACTGGTTATCCTCCAATACCACCCTTAAAGGTACGCGTGTGTCATCGAGACAATTGCAAAGTAGCGAGTGGGCGCTGGGCCACCTCGCACTGTGCATCATTTGAAGGCCACCCGCAGCTATAAACAAACCCTGCAGCTGCAGCTGTTTTTGATGTGAGACCACCCCAGAACAGTGCTATATGTTATTTTTTGTTAGCGAAAGGATCGCCGCATTCGTATTGCACAGGGCGTCTAATAAATCAGCGTAAACGCGTAATTATCTCCCGCTGCTATTTGGGCGAAGGGTGTGTGTGTTGTGTGTGCCTATGCATAATTATACCGTTAGAGTGGGTGTGTGTGTTTGTCAGTATGTGTGTGGGGAGTGGAGCGGTGGCGCAGTGGTTAGCGCAATGTGCTGCGAAACAGGCCACCTGAGTTCGATTCTCGGCCAAGGGTAACGTCTAGACCGATCCTGGGTCTCTCATATATAGATTCAACCTTAAATGAGTAGATGTACATCAGGGCTGTGTGTACACATCAGCACTGGGGAGACAAAAGTGGCATGCTGGTCTTAATGGATGTTCACTAACAGCACTTGCCCCCACAGTCTGGTAAAAGCTGCATGTGGGGCCTTTGTCTTTGTTTGTACAGGGAGCACTGCAGTTCTAAGAGAGGTTCTCGCGCTGTGCTTTGATCATGGTGGCCTGGATGTAATTTCTGGCCATGCTCATCAGTAGCAAATGGTATTTGAACTGATCCTAGGTCTCCCTATGTTGGTTCAACCCCAAATGAGTAGCTGGTGAAAT